ATCTTGAGGAGTTCGCTCCTTGTTCTGCTACGTTACTTTGTTAATTAGAGATTAATAACACACATTTACCTCTATTTATCCTTACGCTAGCATTAGCCTCTTCCATCTGTCTCACTGTTATCGAACAGACTCTAATTAAAATTCAATTCATGCTCCAAACAGGGTATATTCCATCCCTCGTAATATGCAATTTTTGCCCTTGCGTTAAAATTAATGTTTAGTTGTCACGCTCTCCACGACAGAATGTACTGTGAAATTATCTACAAAATGTTGCACCATTATATTGTTATAGATGAAATCATACGTCAACCATTTTGGATAGTCCAAGTATTGCAGTTCCACCATATAAAGATCTGCTGGGTTTGATCTCTTTGTTTTTCATATTGACTAGAGTTATGTCATGCTCAATAAATATTCCCATATCGAATGATAAATCTTGATATACGTACAAATCTTTTTCTTCTGTACATATTTCTACTGTTGTCCTACTGATACTTGGCATGCATGGTTTTATGTTTACTTATTGTATCCTTACTTGTTTTTGTTTTTCGGTGTTTTCAACAGCTTAGGAACAGTTAGTTTTGTGATCTTTATTGTACCATTGATCGATTTCTTTTGTTTTAATAATTTTTCTAGTGTATTGAAAAATGTATTCTTGTTTTGTCATAAATATATTTTTGTCATGCACGTTCATCTGTTATGTGATAAACAAAGACCAATCTATTATTCCAATGCAAATATATCTTTCATATGGTAATAGTTTGAAGATAATATGATGAACATGTTAACATGTTATACTTTCTCTTGCACATTTTGTCTTTGGGGTTTAATAATGTTTCTCTCCTTATCACTTTCTCTGTTCTCGATCGAATTCAAGTATTTCATATTTTAAAACTGATTTTTCATTATAAAAGCAATGTCTATTGTTAGTATTTGGTATATCGACGCAAAGCTTTATCGTCCTCAACCAATGAGTCAAATCTGTATGATATTATTAATTTCCGTTTCTTATTTTCGCGTATATAATATCCTAATCTGGATTATAAAAATATCAAACAGCCATTAATTTCACTTGTTTTATTTCTTGTGAACATTTTATGTACTAATCTTTTATATATTTTTTAGTTGTCCGGTTTATAAAACCAATTGTCAAGCCATGCTGTACCCTTACTGAACCAAAATAAATAAATTTTCTGGATGAGTATCTTATTCAACTAAAACTCGGCACCATGAAGCAATTCATACACATCATTTTAAATTGTTCTTGAAAGAAATAAAACATTCATTTATTATGATACTTACGTTTGTGGGGTTTTTTATATTAACTTTTTTATATCTTTTTTTGTTTAATTTATTAATGGGACAAGTATTAAAGGGAATTATAATTCGCTTCTCTGTTGCTTTGAAATATGTAAATCAAGTTAAGTAATGTTAAATTCCTAAGCCATGAACTGGATTTCTCCACTTCTCTATACAGCACTATACAAATTTCCATAATTCACACACACACACACACACACACACACATATATATATATATATATATATATATATATATATATATATATATATATATATATATATATATATATATATATATATATATATATATATATATATATATTTCTTTTTCTTGCTCTACGCAAACAGTGTTAAATTTATGTTCCCAAATGATGCCACAAACGTCCGAATGTTTAGTCTTGCTGAACTGCAAATGTTGACCTATGATAGGCTTGGTATCTCCATATTTTAGTGACGTCACCTTACAACATTGTAGCAGTTGTGGCCTGATATTTATATTTATTATTAAAGGTTTTGTTCTGACCTTTACTACAGTTATACCTAGATCAGCATTGGACGGTGACTGCTAAAACGAAGGAAAACGAATTAGATGTATAGTGGCAGATTTTTGCCTTCAATTGGCAAGTGCATTGCTAAGTATTTATGAAACAAAACAGTGTCGTGTTCCATGCATACAGCATTGTTCATGAATAGGGAACTGTCTGTAGAAATCACGATAAATTTTCATCCTATCTCAATCGAAATCGTCATTAGTTTTAGAAATTCCAGCTTAAATTCAGAGCAGCAATGTTAAGAATGGTTATTGCACGATATTGACAAATTTGGGAAATTTATATTTTAGTTTTCATTTTATAATTTATTAGTCCAATCCATTCTTTATTTTAGATATTTTTCACCATTTTGTTTTTAGCTATGCCAACTTTCTGCTTAGTTCAGCTGATTCAAAGAAAACCATAAAATGTGTAAATGTGTCTAATGTAAACCTCATATTATGTATATGACATGTTACATATCAGTATTATTGTTATTTGAAAGTATTGTTACAATGTTATAAATAGTAACATTCTTATCACACAAAATTTATTATTACCTCTCCGATGGTCAAGTGGTTACATCGTCCACCTCGGATGCTAGACTTCGCGGGTTCGAACCCCAGCCGCGTCATACCAAAGACTAATAAAAATAGTTATAATACAGGTTAATGTTAGAACTGGTCACCTTTTGACAGGATAATGTGACTGGGTGGGACATCACGGAGTGCTAGACATCGTATCGATATGACTGAATTTTTTTTAAAGCTGCGTTAAAAAAGAAAATCACTCAATGAGTGCAGACTCTATGTAATCATGTTTACGGTTAGACATGCTAGCGGCACAAGATTGCATCCATTATACCGGACAATATGTTACGTAATAAAGTTTCAGTTCCATATTCTTGCGCCACATGACTGATCCTATTCTATAGATCGGAATCGTTCAAAGAGATTTAGGTTCGGGTACTTCGTGTGAAATGCAGTCAAAACTGGATCACTCGTGTTTGGAGAAATCTTGTAAAACCTTTATCTATATTTAGAAACAGTGGCCATATTTGATGGCCCAAATATATCGTTTGTAAATATTTGAAGAACTTGGTGTCAGAATGTTTCCAGCGCAGCTTGAGCATAATAAATCCGAGAAGAAGAAGTTCTGATTGACGGTCGACGGACACTGTCGTATTATAAGCTTACTTGATCTTTCAGCAGGTCAGCAAAAAAAAAATAATATCTTCGCGGGCCAGAACAAACTTTTTTGACACATGAAAATTAAAAGCCACCAAATGTAATTTTTATACCTTGCCAGCCTTTGTTTGTCTATTGGTTGGGAGGCTGTATGTAATTTTATAAAAATTGTCTTTATCCTTTTAAAGTTAATCCAGGACTAATCAAATGATTGAACGAGTTTTCAACCCTAAGAACAACGATCAAATATTACTAAGATAAATCATGACCGCATGTCGATAACAACAACAAAGACAACAATTTTATTTGACTGTCCATACAGTTTATCAATATTGTAAAAAAAAAACAACATAAAACGCATGTAAAATAAGAAAGAGAGAGGGGTAGGGACAGAGAACTCAGAATGCATTATCGACGTATTTTTTCACGTTATATATAGATTTGACTATAAAGGATCAATGATAGCTTTTCCAAGATTTGCAAATAATAGACAAATTTCAAGGAAATTTCATTGATCCTGTGTTATTTTGTTTTGCCATACAGAACTCACTTTATGTTTTTACCTTTCATTTCCTGAATATATTTAAGTCGCAGTATTTAATGGATGGGATCAAACTCAAATCTTTATACTGTGTTTTTCTTGTGGTTGAATTTGACAATAAATTTACGTTAAGAGAAACTGTCGCTTAGATCTTTCTTTTGAAATTAGCAAGTCTATTAGGACTGTTTCCTAGATAATCAATCAATAAATTAAACTATCCGTAAAGTAAAATTAACGTAGAGAAGATGAAAGGATTTTTTTGAATGAAACATTCATATATATATATATATATATATATATATATATATATATATATATATATATATATATATATATATATATATATATATATATATATATATTAAATATAAATTAACGTAGAGAAGATGAAAGGATTTTTTGAATGAAACATTCATATATATATATATATATATATATATATATATATATATATATATATATATATATATATATATATATATATATATATATATATATATATATAATAGTTACGCCCAATACTGATTTTTATTAGCTTGCATTTATTTTCAAAATCATTGAATTGCTTTTTGCTGGTTTTGCTTGCAATGAATCACTGCATTTGTGACTTTTTTCCCTTTATTTTTCTTTGTTGATTTAATGTAGTTAACTTGGTTACACATCATATCATTTATCCTTCGGACAAAACTTATATATTTAATAGGAGATCTAGCTTGTTTACTTTTAATGTTAACGAGCGTTTATAATAGCACGGTGTACCATTTTTTTTCCGTTATCTGTACATGAGACAGTAATATTTTCCACATATTGTAAACCATCTAACTTCACTTTCCTAATTATTCAATTAAATTAAATCTACAGAAAATGCCTGTTCTCAATTTTTATAGTGCATTTTTTTTGTGGTGGGTACGATATAATTTGCATCACAGATTCAACTCTTTCATTTGATCACTTTCAACAGAATTAAGTCTGAGTTTTCACATCATTCAATGAAAGATGACCTTAAATAAGTGAAAACAAATCCATTCTTAGTCCCATTTTCCTCTGATCGTTTCTACCCCATTCTTAGATATTTTGACATCTATGTCGGAATTTGGGGATCGGAGTCTATTGCCTATCAAAAAGATGGAACTGGACTCCACCGTATCCACCAAGAGGTGGCGGTAAAGGGTTGCCACTTACCACCGGACCTAATAACTTTAACAACATTACGTCTAACCCTGCTTGCATGAAATTAATTGGAAGATAACTTATCTACTCAGAAATTGCGAGTGTAATATTCTTCATGTCTTTATTCCGCTGACAGACAAGACGAAACTACAGCGTTAGTGAAATTTGACCTGTTATTCGTCATTTGCAATGCTAGACACATGAGTACATGTTCATAGCCATCTCAGGTCAAATAGTTACGTGTATATCAACAATAAATATGTTTCCAATGTTCCGGTGGTCTAGTGGTTAGAGCATCCGCCTCAAAAGCGGGAGTCTTGGGTTCGATCCCCTGTCGAGTCATACCAAAGGCTTACAAAAATGGTACTAAAAGTTGCCTCGCTTGACGCTTAGCATTAAGAGGTTAGTGTTAGGACTGGTCGGCCTGGTGTCAGGATAATGTGACTGGGTGGGACATCATGATACATGTCTGCGGCATGATGCCCCAGTGCTAGACATCACTATAAACTGCCACTCTGCAGACATCGTAGCGATATGGCTGAAAAATTGTTAAAGCTACGTTAAAAATCATAATCACATAATCACTTGTAGAAAAGAAAAATCGAAAGTATTAATTGAATTTCACGTAATGGTCGTAGCCTTCCACCCCCTCCGAAAAGACATAATTCTCGACATATTTATTCCCGAAAAGAACGACCAGAAACCTGTTCTTGTCGAAGCAGCCTGGAGAATGCCAGATTCATCAGGCAGAAAGCACATGATAAGCATATAAGCACATCATGGTAGTGACATGATACGAAAAATCCCGCATAGACGCGTTCTATATGCTTGATGAGTCTGGTTTTCTCCAAGTTGCTACGACAGCTACAGATTTCCGGTCGTTAGCTCAGAATGAATAGGTAGTAAATGAATTGAATGGAATGTGCATTACTTAAATACCTTTTGTAAGTTATCCAGGCATGATTGAGTCTACGCATACAATCTCTGTTTGTTTCACAATCACACAGGTAAAGCTACCAGGAGAGACAGCTGTCTGATGGCAGTCTGAATCAGGAAACATGTAGTCACGTTTTAAAATGAACGTTGACCATTTTCATATTTGTCTGATTCACTGGCTTGACATTTCAGTGAAAATTAAAATTTTCACGCAAAACCTAGGCAGTTGTTGATATTTAAAAATGATTGAAATGTCATGTATGGCAAGTGGTAGAAATAGTGTTAGATCCAATATGGCAATAAATTAATTTGTTAAGGGAAATGTAGCAAAGTTGTCAGTCCTAAATGTAACAAAACTGCACGTAAATGTCACATCAGCTTTGATCAGATTTATTGGCAACCTTTACGGATTTTATTATAGAAAATAGACTTTTGCTATTGTTCTCATTTATATTAAGTTGGTCATTTCCTCCAGCAAGTGATGGCTTTACCGATTATTTACCCGTCGGTGAACAGTCAACACCAAACACTCGCAACAAGTTCTCTGTTCGTTTTCGGCTTTCGAGCAGCATGTGTGATCTAGATTGGTTATTTCCACGTACGCGTTGCCTTCCTTAAAAAGGTAACTCGTTCCTACCGAATTTAGGTTTCAAACCCCTTTTGTGATTCTGAAAATGCATTTTAAAAAAAATATAAATTCTTATACCTTTTTTGTTAACATTCTTCTCTCTAAGTTACGCTTCATGATTAAATTATTGCAAATTATTACAACTTTCCTTTCGCATGAAATCTAGAACATCGCTCAGCAGTTTTAATTTTGGTTATTCAGTTTTGTAAGAAAACTTTAATAAATTCTTTGAATCATCAGAAAAAAAAAACATGATACAACATTCATTAACATAACTAATCTTTTCTATGGTCAATATCAGTTGTAAACTGATTACGACATCTGTGCTAGTACTACTTGACTTTCCTTCAGTCAGGTAAACCTATGACCTCTGAGTTCCACGCTAATCTGTTGTTGTTACCCTTCAGAAAAAAATGTACATTGGTAGACATAAAGAGGCCAAAGAACAATAAAAGAATGATGTACTATAATTTTGTTTTTAGTTAAAAGAGATACATACATTTGCAAAATTAAATTAAAAGTTTTTCACTGCTGAAATTTAGACTGGATTAACTTATATTCATCGATTGTAAAAGACTATGACCGGCAAATATCGCTTACGGTTATGTCCTCTTATATCACATAAAAGTGCGAACTAGTATTTAAAGTTTAAATATTTTAATTTTAAATAATCTTAAACCAATTGATTTCAGTCATAGTGGATTAACTTATCTTTGATAACTTTAAAAGAAGACTGCGATATTGAGAGATTTTATGTATGATTTTAAAATTCAGACTTTGAATATTAATTTTGTATCCCGTTTTGTAAGCAAAAGACCGTATACTAAAATGACTGAGCACAACAACTGTATCCAGACTTAAGACTCCCAATTCAGAAACTATTCAGCAGTTCGTTGCCAATGAAAATAACCAAACATGTCCAACAAACAAATTTCTTGTTAATTCAGGCGCCGTATTCGGGAAACGTCTTAACCACAAAACTCAAGTTCAAGTTTAAACTCATATCCCCCGCACACGTGCGCATTCACAGACAGACAGACAAACACACACACAATGGGAGTGCATAGCGGTGTTGAAATGACTAACATATTACCTTGATGTATGCCCAGTTGTGGAGAGTGTATTTCTTACAACATGTAGGTAAATGTGATATAGCATCTCCTAAACTCACATCATCTTTCAATTGTTCTTTATTTTGTATAGAGGAAACCAGGTTTTAAAAAGAAAGACATAGTTCATATTTGTGATCAACATGGATAAATGAAGAGTTGACAAGTGTTTTGTCCGAGTCTAAATGATAACAGTGAGGCAGTATAATACAAGGTAGCTTAGCATTAATATATGTTAACTTTTTAAATTTTATTTCGAATTAAAGATGGTATGATTTTTATCACGATCCGTAGACAATTTAAATTAAGTCTCATAATAAATAATGTACAAAATGCCACCCATGTGCCATTGTTTATTCTAATTTTTAATCATTATTTTATCCAAAAATTGACCATCACCTATCACCTGTATGCAGACACAAACAGCAGAAAAAGGTCACATGGCATATATATTTTAAATATATATATTTTTAGCAAAACCCCCCCCCTTTATGACGTAAACCATGAGACTTGGCAAAAATTGAACGTGTTTAGAAATTATGTAATTTCATTATCTTCATGAAATGCAGATATTTTCTGTTTACATTATTCCCGTATAAACTAATGTCAGGTTATTATATGCTAATTTTGATAACTAAACCACTCAGACAACCTGTCGGGTACTGCCGTAGAAGGAAAATCACACTCTTTTTTCAAGCGTGAGATAATTATTGTTTGTTTTGTCTTGTTTGTTTTTTAAAGTTTTTTTGTTATTGTTATTTTTTTTTTTATTTTTTTATTTTTTGCTTTTTGTATCTTCCCCAGCAAAACTACCATACGGGTGCTATTTTTGGAGATAAATAAGCTTAAGGCGTGCAAATGCAAGAATCAAGGTAGATTTACAATAGTCATGAATTGTCATTAACAGATTTTTTTTAAAATAAATAACTTGCACAATCAGTAATTACAAAATTTTATGAAAAAAATAATGGTGCTATCCTTTCGAGGAAACTTACGTTTTAATAGATCATGTAAATCTTTTTCTGTTGCATAACTTTTATATATCAAGATTGTAACTAGATGCAAGAAAGCATGTCACATTAAGTTGTAATCATGCAATGATAATTTTTATATATCAAGATTGTAACTTGATGCAAGAAAGCATGTCACATCAAATTGTAATCATGCAATGATAATTTTTGTATATCAAGATTGAAACTTGATGCAAGAAAGCATCTCACATTAAATTGTAATCATGCAATAATAATTTTTGTATATCCAGATTGAAACTTGATGCAAGAAAGCATGTCACATTAAGTTGTAATCATGCAATGATAATTTTTATATATCAAGATTGTAACTAGATGCAAGAAAGCATGTCACATTAAGTTGTAATCATGCAATGATAATTTTTATATATCAAGATTGAAACTTGATGCAAGAAAGCATGTCACATTAAATTGTAATCATGCAATGATAATTTTTATATATCAAGATTGTAACTTGGTGCAAGAAAGCATGTCACATTAAATTGTAATCATGCAATAATAACTCTTATATATCAAGATTGTAACTTGATGCAAGAAAGCATGTCACATCAAATTGTAATCATGCAATGATAATTTTTATATATCAAGATTGTAACTTGATCAAAGAAAGCATGTCACATTAAATTGTAATCATGCAATGATAATTTTTATGTATCAAAATTGTAACTTGATGCAAAAAAGCATGTCACATTAAATTGTAATCATGCAATAATAACTTTTATATATCAAGATTGTAACTTGATGCAAGAAAGCATGTCACATTAAATTGTAATCATGCAATGATAATTTTTATATATCAAGATTGTAACCTGATGCAAGAACGCATGTCACATTAAATTGTAATCATGCAATGATAATTTTTATATATCAAGATTGTAACTAGATGCAAGAAAGCATGTCACATTAAGTTGTAATCATGCAATGATAATTTTTATATATCAAGATTGAAACTTGATGCAAGAAAGCATGTCACATTAAGTTGTAATCATGCAATGATAATTTTTATATATCAAGATTGTAACTTGATGCAAGAAAGCATGTGACATCAAATTGTAATCATGCAATAATAATTTTTATATATCAAGATTGAAAATTGATGCAAGAAAGCATGTCACATTAAATTGTAATCATGCAATGATAATTTTTATATATCAAAATTGTAACTAGATGCAAGAAAGCATGTCACATTAAGTTGTAATCATGCAATGATAATTTTTATATATCAAGATTGAAACTTGATGCAAGAAAGCATGTCACATTAAATTGTAATCATGCAATGATAATTTTTATATATCAAGATTGTAACTTGATGGAAGAAAGCATGTCACATTAAGTTGTAATCATGCAATGATAATTTTATATATCAAGATTGTAACTTGATGCAAGAAAGCATGTCACATTAAATTGTAATCATGGAATGATAATGCAATAATTACAGAAAAGAACTGTACTTTAGTAACTTATGAAATGGTGACTATGTGCATATTTTTCATAAAAATGGATTAATTTATGAATCTAATAAAATATAAGAAATATACATCTAAGTATGAGGACTTTGATTCACTTATTAAATAAACATTAAGCATCTCTGTCATGCAGTCTAGTTTGATAAAATATAATCTAACACTGAAAACGGATAAC